TTAATGGTAGCTTAATGAAGTTTGGACATTAAGCACCTAGAAGCTGCAGCTTAATGGTGGCTTAATGGTGGCTTAAAGGAATTAACTTCTATAAGCCACCATTAAGCTACCAGTAAGCCGCCATTAAGCGATTGCTTAAAGATGGTCTTTCGTCCTGTGTTTCAAAAAGCTTCTCCATCGCCGTTTTGGTCTGATTTCAATATAACTTGGCGCACAATTAGACTACTCTCAGATCCATTATTCTGTTTATCGGTTTTTGATTTCATTGAACATTGATGCTATGGTTACTAGAAGTAGAAATTTCCTTTGAAAATACTTTCGAAACGCTAATCCTCCTAAGGTTTTTGTCTGGTTTTAATATAATTTGGCACAAAAACCGACTTCTACGAAGGTACATCACTCTGTCTATAGGTTTTTTTTCTCCTTAAGCACTGGACACGGATTCTCTGAATTAGCTTGTTATGTTTGTTCCTCACGCGTTTATAAAATAGTATCTTTGTTGAGATGCAGTTTATCTTGATTTTTTATCTTCATTTATTTGGCAATAAGTCTGTTGTGCATGTAAAATCATTTGTAGAGTATTACTTGAAAGTGGTTCGTCTTGTTTTTATGCAAAGATACGACTCATTTCAATAACCTGTTAATTGTCGCCCGAGTGGCGCAGTAATTAGAGCGTTTGCTCTAAGAGTCGTAGAGTTAGGAGTTGATCCTTACGTCGTAGGTTCGAATCCCACTGCGGGACGTGGAGACCCTCGGATTAGACCGTATAAACCGAGGTCCCGTGTCGCAGTAGGTGCTGGATCGAAGAAGAACCCAGACTCACTGCTAAATGGCCCTGAGTGTGCCGAGTATAGGTCTAAAATTTGCAGCCATCCACTGGCACATGGTGGTGTCTCAATATGAGTGAAAATTTCTCAAAAGGGACGTTAAACAAGCACACAAACAAAATCAATGACCTGCTTCTTTTGATCTTCACTAAATTGAACGTTCCTAACGGCGTTAAGGAGGTTGGATCCTGCCATCAAAAGTAATGAGAATTTTTTATCAAGTATATTTTTAGAATTTATACACATAGCTGAATTAAAAATCAAAACAAAAATCGGGGGTCAATGCGCTTCTTTTGGCGCTACAGAGCATTTAGTTTGACCTTTTTGCACTATAAATACATCTTACACATAAATCAATTTTTAAAGTTTTCCCTCCAATATTTTTTATTCAAATAAATTATGGGAACAATCACAGTCCTATTTCATCTTGAATAGACACATTAAAATTTGTGACAATGAAAAAAATTTCAAATTACTCCGCATGTTCAATTATTTGACATTTTTGCACTCAAAAAATTTCATTTTTCTGGCATTAGAATTTTAACAAGCAAAAAAATCATTTGAAAGTAATGACATTTTACTGAATTTAAGAAGAATGGTTAAAAATATCTTATATATGTAGAAAAGAAAATAAAAAGTGGGGGTCTGTGATGTTAATTTTTAGATATTACTAAAATAGTGCTAATTTTAAGCTTAAAATAGGGATATTTTTTTCTTGATTTTCACAATATATTTGCTATATTTATCAAATATGATGATAGAATTCATGACAGTTTATTTATTATATAATTTAGGATCAATATAAAACAGTTCACTGCACAAAATAACTCTGTGTGTAGTCTGCATGTAAAAATAGGAATCAAAACTTAACATACTTTAAATACTTCGAAAGAGAAAAAAATGATCATTTTCTTCTAAAAAAAACCTTCCGCCACAAAATATAGTTCCTCTCTCAATGCTTTTGGTATGGAATTTAATCATGGATTTTTAAATGAACACAGTTTAATTGGCATTGTAGAATCCAACTTTATTGCAAGAATTAAAACATTATGCAGAATTCTTAAAACATAGGTTAAGATATAAATCTGCTCAAAAGCTCAGGAGCGAACCTCGTTAAGCAATGCCCTCGCTTATTGGCCAACCTTGTCAAAGCTGATTGGTTGGGGGGCGGAGTAAAATCAAAGAAGCACATAAACACAAAATAATTATGTACTTATGAATAGATTTTAATTTGTATTAATTATTCGTAAGAAACTTCATATCTACAGTCCCAGACATTACAGGTTTACATCAACGACTGAATGTACTGTTAGTGTACATTAATTGGCGTATTCAAATTTTAGCGCATCACTGGGTATGGAGTTGTTGGCGTTATCATGAATTAGCGCTACACATATATTGTATATATAAATGATTTCTTAGCGGTATTCATAAATTAGCGCATCTTTGTCTGCGCCAAAGCCGCTAAAATATGAAGCCCGCTTTTTAAAGTACACATACAGTATCTCTTTTTGGTGGATGCATCTATGATGTGGTGTCGATTAAATCTTGCCTATAATTGGTGCTGTAGAGAGTTGGAAATATAGGCACTTGTTTCTTACAAGTTCTCTTTTAACAAGTTACCTAACTCATTTTAAGCTCTACCGATCAAGCTTGAATTTCCTAAATTTGTCATGCTTGAATTTTCTTGATTTATCAATCTTAGCTTACTTTAACATAATATAGTTCGCATCAGAAGATTTTTTTCTTTTGAACAGTCGATCCTGGCGTTGAGCCTCTTCATTGTAAACTACTCATTTACTCCTCAGAAACTATCTCAACATAATTTTAAAGACGAGACAGAAGATGCATCAACTTCCTGCCAGGGTTATACTGAACGATAAAACCAGAGATTTCCAGATCTTTTCATTCCGACGTCATTGGTTTTATCGTTCACTATAACCCTAACCGGAAGTTCATGAAAGAATGGGGCGCCAGGTATACGAAATAAGTGCCTGTGCTTGGAAACCTATATTAAGAATTCTTGTTATAAGGGTATAATTAAAAGGGTAGCATGAGTAGCTTCGCCAACTGCAATTTGATTGAACAGCGGTTCGTCAAAAGCCCTGCATAATACTTTTTTTTAATCAACTCCCAGGGGGTCGGCGAATAAAAGAAAGAAATGAAAAAGAGCGAAAGAAAGTTCAAAATTAAATGTACATTGTAAAAGTTCAACGAGTAATTAGGTATTACGCAGGGGTTTTGACGAATCAAATCAAAAAGCAGAAGGCGGAGCTAATAACTGCACTCATACTACCTTAATATCTATATCCAGGAACGTATATACTAACTCCACTGTTATAATCATTTACCAAGAATTTTTAATGTAGGTTTCCTATTTTCCAATCACTTTTAACTTGTTTCGTATACAGGGCATCCCCTCCGTTCTCTTTCCACGAGGTACCTGACTCAATTTCAGGCATCTCACTTCAAGCTCGTATTTTATTAATTTATCAATCATTAACCTACTTCAACATGACATAGTTTGCTTTGAAAGTCTTTTTTTCTTTTCAAATAAATCGTTCCAGACGTCGTCCTTTCTCGAACCTCATTATTGAAAACCACTCGTTTATTCTTTGAAAATTACCTCAATACATACGAAACAAGTGTCTGTGGTCTCAACTCTCTACATCGCAAAATACAGGCAAGATTTAATTTAAACTACACGCTGCCACTATGCATGGAGATATACATTCAGTCGTCGATATAAACCTGTAATGTTAGGGACTGTAGATGTGAAGTTTCTTATGAATAAAAAGTACAAATTAAAATCGTTTTATAACTACACGTATTTTATGTTTCTGTGCTTCGTTTACCTTTTTGAGATGGATAATAATCTTTCGTTTTGCATTCACTGAAGTTCATTAATTCACTAAATTTATCGGATCCGTAATTTTGCTTTTATGTGTATTTGTTTTGCAAAAACATCTGATAATTATGCAGTTTTTGTGGTCATTTAAATTATAAAACACGTATCTGTTTGTTATTTTTCAATATGACTTTTCCCCTTTCCGCCGCCTATACCTATTGCTGTATTACATGTAATTAGTACATGTATCAAGTGAAAATGTATACTTAATGTTGACGAGCTCAAACAAATAAAATAATCTCAAAATAGAATTGTTTGTATTACTTTTTAAAATGAATACTTCTTCATAGCATCAACTTTGAAATATACAAAAGGTTTCATACTTGTAGTCTGATGAACAGATGACGGGAAAATAATTAGTGATCAGAAAATACACATCTCTCAAAAATATTAATCACTCAGTGGCGTGTGATGCTACTTTCCAATACACTTAATTTTACGAATCTTTAACAATGGGAAAGATTAATCTTAACCTCTAGTTTATTGACTCACAGATTTCATATACCTTAATTCAATAACAGTGATTCTAAAAATCACAGATTTAGAACCTAAGATTTTAATGGAAACTTGATAAATATCAGTTCTGCGACATCGGCACTTCTAGCAACAAACAGGGAACAATCAATATTTACTCATCACCAAAACGTTGCCAAATATTAAATATATATATTACAGTAATGGAATTTTTAAAAAGGTTTCATTAAACACCATTTAAGCGTGGCTGTTCAGCAAGTTTTACCTATTCATTGTTGCTTGTCATTAATAAATATTCATAAATTCTTTGTTAATCAACATGCCTGTGTAATGTCACGAACGGATCTGAAGGGTGCATGGGGTCCGGACCCCACCTACAGCATCCCTGGAATTTACGGGGCTATTGAACAGTACAGTAACATAACTTGGAAACCCCGTCCACAATTTTTGGGTTAAATTTCCGTTTTTAGTAAGGTGGAAACACCCGCCCCGCCCTGGAGCAATGTATCTGGAATTCATGGATCTACGCACAAGAAAATAATGTACATTTCCCGTGAAAGTTATTTTTCATACATAATATTGCTTTTGTTTTATCTGCAATCACAGTAAAAATGTGCAAAGTTACAGACCAATTCCCTTTCAAAAAAATTCATCTAAGGCGTCATATAGATGTACATGTACAACCGTACACAGAACCATCATTAATTTCTACATCTGTGTTTTAAGCTCCAAAAAATGATTAGGAAGCACTTTCAGAAGCTGTTTATTACAGTAAATAAAGTGTCATAAAACATTACGCAGTCATACAACATAATAAATTTGTAAATCAGTAAGTACAATATGATCAATAGTTCTCTGTCTCTGCTACTGGTATCCTTATATCAGCACTTGTTTTACACCGCACTTAATGATATAAAGCTATACATTGTCACAAACGCGCGCAGATGAATCTTTAACGTGGCTGGAAAATCTTAACTCCCCTGAACTATTCACAGAGATCTAATTATCTACAGTAGACTCTTAAAATAAAGAGACGATCCTTTCAATGCTGATTAAATCCTCAAAGATTCAAACTCTCTTTAACTAAATTCTTTTTGAACTTTGGCAAAGAGGAAGGTCGCTCAATGAATGTCATAATTGGGGGTAATGCGTCGTTCTGATTATTCCTGTGAACGATACTGAATCTCTCGCATCACTTTTTGTAATAACTCTGATCCTGGAGGAAGGCTTTCTCTTGTAATTGAGAGAATGATCTCTTTTCGTCCATTATCTTCCCCTCTGGGAGAAACTGTTCCGAAGAAAGACTTGTCCAGAATAGAGCTTTGTTGTTTTTCATGTTCTAGTTCCAACAGGGAATCGAACACCATACTGAGCTTCCTGTCTGTTTCTACAGCCCCTCCTGATCCAGACATTGATTTTTTCTTATTTTTCCTGGTATAAAGATCAAAATTTACTAAGTGAATGAACATTTAATGAATGAAGTCTGTCTTTTATACTTTTAGAAGACATTTTTAAAGTACCTAAGCAAACGTAAATAAGGTGACGTATTCAATAAATATTTATTGCTTTATATATTTATACGTATTTCAGCACTTAGGAAGGGTGAACATTCGAACATAAATTATTTGTTTGAACGTCTTTGAAATCCTTATATTAAACAGAAGTGCAAACACCCTTTTGTCACCGTTGCGTATATCAGCCGAAATCCAAAGATAAACAAATCCAATCTACAAATCAACCCCATTGACGTTTGGGCTTGTCTTCATGCATTCTCTGCTGCTTTTGAACTGTCTTTGAACCTGCGTCAGAGGAAGCAATTTGTAGACCATAAAACAGATTTTTTTTTCAAAATTGAATTTTAAAATTTGTTTAAACAATCAGATCAGATCACATTCAGTTATACTCTGGACCTCTGATCTTTTTTTACCTTGAGGTTTCATGTTAAAAAATTAAACGTAATTTGAATACATGTATATCAACTAAAGATGAAGAATAGTGATCAAACTCCTAGATCCAGTAAATAATGCAAACAGAGTACAGGCAAACTCGGACCTATTGAAACACCAGAGGCAGGATCAGGTGACTTAGAGTAAGCATCCCCTGTCGACCGGTCACACCCTCCGTGAGCACGTCCAATTAATTAGATTCCATTTGCAGTATATGATTACTAAATATCACGTCCAGAATATCCCCATAGAATCTAGTAGTTCAGGGAGTGCAGTAGGCATATCACTGATCACAGACTTCCCATTAAATGCCTGCACATTAAATTGACATTCCTAATCTTTTGAACATAGTATCCGGCTTTGGCTAGATTTGTATATTTATTGCAGTTTACATGCTGTTTCAGGCCATTAATAAGCAGAAGAGAAATCAGATTACATAATTTTCTGTTGTTTTTCACAATGTTATTAGACATTACATCACGAAATTTATGAATAAGAACTAATGGAACTTTTAACAAATTCTTGTGGCATGAATGTAAATTACCTCACACCACAAACATGACAATAAAAGAAAAAGTTAATCAAAAAAGATAAAACTGCTCATGTAGATGCTGTCTTAGGACAGTAATTCCCGCATTATATGCCCCTACATTTTCTCTCCTACGTACCTAAGTTTTTAGCAAAGAAGCTACAATAGTAATTCTATTATTCACATAAATACTCGTTGTGTAAAAAAAAACCCCGTTTTTTAAAATTTCTTTTCCGCAGTGGTTCCAAGGATGAAAATGAAAATTAAGAAATCTGACTGTATATCTACAGGACACCACCAACCATATTCCAAAATATGATTTAGCCACTGTGTAGAAAGTATGAGGAGTTCTGGGAACCAAATGTCATTTTCCGACTCCTGATTGATCCATAGGATGAAAATAAAAATTACGAATTGTTATTGAACATCAAGAGGATACCCTCAATCACTTGCAATGGCCTTCAGCTCGACTTTAGATATATCGACGACGTATTATCAATTAACAACATAGTTACATCCATTCATATGTCGACTCGATATATCCCAGTGAGCTTGAAATAACAGATACCACAGCGTCTGACACATCTGTTTTCACATTTGGATATTTTACTAGAAAAAGACTTTAATGGTATATGTAACCGAACAACAAAGCTTTATGATAAACGTGATGATTTCATTTTTTTTCAATCGTCGACTTCCCTTACTTATGTAGCAAAATAGCTTTATCACCTACATATAGGGTTTTTGTCCCCTACCTATTTCGATACGCAAGAGCATGCTCTACATATGAACAATTTCTAAAACGAGGCAAGCGATTGACAAACAAGTTGATGAAACAATGATATCAGCAGTCTCGTTTGAAGTCATCATTTTGCAAATTTTATGGTCGATACAATGACTTTAATTCTCAGCAAATGCAACTTATCATTAAGTCAAATGCTGACTGACGTTTTTTCATACTAATTGTTAGGCCATTATTTACACACTGAATTGTCTACAGATTTTTTCGTTTTCCCGATCGTGACAAGGAGCACACGGCGGGTGTAACCAGTCGACAGGGGTTGCTCACTCCTCCATGGCAGCTGATCCCACCTCTGATGTTTTTGGAAGTCCGTGTTTGCTCTGCTCCAGATTTGTATTATTTTTAGAATGGACTTGGAGCTTGAATACGGTTCGTTATCTCCATATTTCATTTAAAAGCAGATATGGCTGCTGCATAAATTATTAAAGTTCTGAAAAAAAGTTTTTCGACCCAGATGAAATATTAAAACATAAATATGGGAAACTAAACAATCACACTTTATCTGAAGGAGGGATTCTTCTCATACATGTACTTTTTGTTTTTAAAAATTAATGAAATTTTCACAGATTCAAGGAGACAATATCACTAAGTGATAGTATCAATAAGATTAAATTTGACCGTTTTATTTTAGGAGCAAGGTTATCTAATTATTCATAAAAGACCTTACTAAATAGGGACTATCAGACGATACTACATGTATCACATAAAGATAAATAATTTAACTAAAATAGATATTGGTTATTTCTTATTTCCTCTATTTTTCTTAAAGGAGATGGGCGAACATAGCGTGCAGAAAGCCTATAGCTTCAGAAATATAAAAATCATGTTCAGTTTGTGAATTTAATATTTAGAGAAAAGTTCTCATTATTGAAATTTATGAAATTGTCATAAACAAAACTTTTCTGAGGAAAATTTTCTCTGCAAAATTTATTCTTTTATTTAAAAAATTACTGTGGTATTCACGGGGTTCGAACCCTAGCAATAAAAATCCTGAGTATCATTTTCTTTCGAGACTAGCACGCTAACCACTAGACTACCCAAGTCCTGACGACCATTGGCATTTAAATCATGTTTGTGATATGACCCTTGACTTAATGGACTTCAAGTATTTCTCGAAAAGATGCGAATGTTTTGTCATAAAAGTATATTTTTAAGGTATAGTGGATCATTGCTCCATATTTTTGGTAACCAAAAAATGTATATTTTTATGCAAACTTTGAGGATTAACTTTCAAAAAGGTGGAGCGAAAACCCACTCATATCGAAAAATAGTGTTATAGTATGAGAAAGTGACTCTTTTTGCCCGCTTTAGTGTGTATCTAATATTTCACAGGCAAATAATTTCAATCTTTGAGGGATTTTTGCAAATTGTAGAGATTTTACATAAAGTATATTTTAATGTTAGATGAAATATCAAGGAAAATTTTGATATAATTGAAATTTAATTTTTCATCTTCATGTTTGTCACACTATAGGCTCACAGTATCTAACCCACATACTAAAAAAACCGGAAGTTGTTGCGTTTCTTGGTTGACAACATGATGCAGTCATGTGATTATGAAATTAAGACGGCAATTATTCGAAGACATGTTAAGTATTTAAATGTGTTGTGCATTAAAACGCATAGATATATGATGAAACGTTCTCTAGGAAACGCAATTTTGTCAAAATGCAGCTTTGTTTTTTAACGCAATGCAAAACGCAGTGCAGTGTAGTTGTGCAAAGACTTAAAAAGATATATTATGGCATTGGCGTTCATCCCATTTTCGATAAGAATTGTATCAAATAATGAGAAATATAAGTATTGGGGTATTGAAACGTAATTTATTCCTAATTATAATTAGAATATCCTTAATTTTACTGCTTTAATCAAAATGCGACTGTATCCGTCGTTCAATATTTACTGTATGTGTCGTTGTGCGGGACAGGATTTTCATTGTACGAGTCGTTGGTAAATTAGGTGCGTTCTTAATTGAAAAGTTCTGAAATAAATTCTATTTTTTCTTTCAGTTCTCGATATATGATATAATGCTTCCATATCTTCTTTTTATATGTTACTACTGCCACTTTGAAACAAGAAATTTCAACAAAATCATTGTCACAAAGTCATTCTCATTTACCTGACTCCAAATTGAAATATCATTGTCGTTTGTGTTTAGACTATTTTCTCTTGTGGAAATGGGATAAAATTAGACATGTTTTGCGATAACATGGCCGTAGGAACCGGGGGGGGGGGGGGCACTTAATTTTGCCGATATATAGATTACTATAGAAATCATAGCTACTATTTGCTTGTGTCCCCTCAATAAAAACGTCTGATGACCCTTTTTTTTTTTTTTTTTTTTTTTTTTTTTTTTTTAATTTTGCCGAAATATAGATTACTATAGAAAACATAGCTACTTTATGCTTGTGTCCCCTCAATAAAAACGTCTGATGACCTTTTTTTTTTTTTTTGGCTTCATAAGGAATTTTGGTAGTTGATAGTGCCCCCCCCCCCCAACTGAAAATGTATAGCCCCCCCCCAAAAAAAAAAAACTGAAATTGCTTCCCACGGGCGTGGATTAGACCATTTTTTCGATATAGAAGCTTGTATAAGAAAACTGAATACAAAAAAAAATCATTAACATAATTCAACCCCCTATTTACAGAGACAAAAGTAAACATCATTTTTCAATTTCTTTCTTATAAAAGATTTATAAAATCTGGTCGCTTAGAAAGCATTATCAATTAAGCGTTTACAATAACTTATCATCCGATAAGAATTTAGGTAGAAACGATTATTCATTCATAATAGTTTTCAATTGAACATTACTATATTATAGGTATTATTCATTCTTTTACTGTGTGGTTGTTTTATTGTCCAAAAGGCGGTTATCAATCTGATTCTTTCAACTGTCATAAGATTTACATGTATAATTAACAAGCGTTACCTTTTTTTTCTATGTGCAAATTGCAAACAATATTTAAACTGAACCTTCCTATATCTCAGGCTGGATAGCTGTATGGCTCTGTGTGTAACTGATTTTCAAACTGAATAAATCCAAAATTTAGGAAAAAATAGGCAACAATCTGATATTTTGATAACAAGCGTTACCTTTTACAAAAGTTACTATTCAACATCCCTTGCGTATATGCAATATTTTCTTCAATATTATACAATTATTGCTGGTTTTTAGGCGAGGTGAATATTGTACTTCGAAGGTGGCTAAATCATCGTATTGACCGAAAAAACAGCAATAATTGTTTTATTATATGATTCAATGATTAAATGACACACACTCATTAAGCAATCCATGCCATCTTACTTGTTCACATCTACTGAAGTACTAGCCGAACATAATGAGAGAAACGGGTTTAAAAACCAGTTGTATTATTTTGGAATTTTCAATTCTAGTTTAGGTGCAATGTAGAAAAAAATAAATGTCAGGCATATATATGTAGGATTAATTTTGAAAAAGAGGGCATTGAAAGGGGAAAAAATGACAATGACAACTTACCTGAAAACAAATCTTTGACTAGCCCCTCCACCCCTTACCCCCTGCCCCCCAAGGATTCTCCCAGCTCAAAATTTTATTTGGTGGGATGTAAAGATTCATAAAAGAGGGGAGGGAAGGTTTCATTGAAATTTTCTGTCATTAAAATTTAATTTAAAACTTTCCATTCTCAAAAGGTAGGGAGAGGGACAGGCCTCCTGCAACCCCCCCCCCCCCCCCCAAAACCTCACCCAAGAAGTTATGTGCCTTAATGCTATGTTCATATGAGTGGAAGTCAGGTGCAAGTGAAATAACTTTCCAAAACTATTTGCATCAATTTGGAATTCCCCTATCTATTTTTGGTCCAATATAGAATAAATAATTAATTGTATTGACCTGGAAGGTCATGTGCAGGTCAATATAACATAGTATTTTTCTAACATTGTTGGATTTCAGCCAATCAGAGAGATGGGAATTATTCAATCATATAATAAAATATTATACTTACATATAATGCGT